ATTGTTTCCCCCGCTAGAAAGAAACTCCTGGAAGACAGTCATCAACCTTTACCTCCTTGTTTTATCCTACAGAGGACAGTGTGGTGCTTGGCACATGGGCGCTTTGTAAGTGGTTTTGAACTTGATTTGAGTTGGAGAGTAGATTTGTAAAGTCTCTGTAGTTAGGGCAGCAGCCAGGTACATATTCTTTACTCGGGAGTTTAACTTACAACTCCATCCAGACATGTCTAAGCTAGGTTCTCCTACCCCCACTGGAGTTTAAAGATGTGCTATATGATTTTTGCCATCACTTGGAAATTGTACCAACTAATTAAGAGCATAGCCTATTATTCTGTCACTCATTTGTTTCTGTGTTTGTTTTTTTATTTTACTCTTTAACCCTTCAGCAAGTATCAGTTGAGCAACTGAAACCTCACTCATGCTATATAAATTGGTATATGATGATACAAGTATGAAAAAATATATAAAAGTTTATTACCATTGGGTGTGTGGGGAGGAGAGAAATAAGTATAAAAAAGACTATTAAAAATTAAAGGTAGCCACACCCATGATAGAAGAAGGGTACATATGATTCCTGTCCTGTAATTCCAAGGAATTCCAAGGAAAGAATGGCTAGTAGAATATTAATGATGGCTATGTCAGGCTGATTAAATTTTAATTCTTACTATTTTTATTTTCTAATGTCTGACAGTTTTCAATAAGTATAAACATTGTTTATGTAACAGGAACAATAAAGCTGTCATTATGGTGAAAAACAATTCGTGGAATGCCTACTACGTGCAAAGAAAAAGTGTGGATATCAGCGTAGTAAATATCCACCTGAGTTCTTCCTTTTCCTTTGAAGTCACATTAATCATTCTTCAGATGAAAATCAGTGAGAACCCTGGAAGAGTAGTGATATGTGAAGACTCTTAACTGTCAAATTCTGTAACAATAATTCCATTTGAGTTCTCTTACCTGTAGGTCTGTGTGAAGGGGCTTTGGCAATGAGCTCGGCCCTTAGGTTCAGAGCCACTTTGGTCCTGTGTCTGGGCTGCAACAGTAAAGGTAGGTGGTATCTCTGACCTCAGCCAATCACTTCATAAGGGGGCTAGGAAGGGGTCTGGGTGAGTCAGTTAAAATCCATTGTAATGATGGAAAGCCATCTAAGAAAAAATGTCCTGGAGCCTGAGGGTCAGAGCCAGCCCCTCTGCACACGAAGGATCTCACAGTCTGTGTTTATTGACACAGAAGGTGGTTTTAATTACCCTGAAGGAATTTTTGGCATGTTTTGCCAAAGCCTGTCTTTAAATGTTTAATCAGTGGGTTTCTGACAACCAGACCTACTGGAGAGGTCTGCATATGGGGGCAGTTGGTCAAGTGTAGTGTATTGCAATGGGGCTGCTAGTGACGGAACATAGGTATGTTTTAGCAGAGAAACGTAGGCCTGAAAATACCAACTTCCACCCATGCAATGACCTTGGTTTTGGAGAGTATGGCATGTTTTATGTCTGAGAAGCTTCAATTTCCTTCCCAGCTATAGATCCTCATCTAAGCAACCTCTACTCCCTCTGTTTTTGGTGTCCTGAAAGTGAATTTGGTAAGGTAATCTAGAGCCAGAGTTGGAGCGATAAATCAAACAATCAGCTTCATGGTCCCACACTAGTGACTTGAAGAAAGGAATGTGCCTTTCCAGGTACAGGTCCAAGGAAAATGTATACTTGTAATCCTTAGTTTTACCCATTTGTGTTGACAAAATATTTTAAGAAAAGAACTGTAATAGGACAAGTAGTATGATGGTGTCACATCACAAAGCCATTTTAATCTTTCAGATAACTTCAAGGAAACCATAGTCCAAGATAAATGTAAAAGCACCAAGGAAATTGTTTCCTTGATTTTTTGTCTCTTTGCTCTGGAGTGTCTAGTTTGAATCCTCCCACTAAGACTGTAAAAATAGTCAATAGTGCTACATAACTGTCTTTGATTCATCTCTCCACACTTAACTCCAGATGGAATTTCTTTTTTGTTCTCCTTGCATAAAAATGTCCTTCACACTATCCCCTTTCACTGCTGTCCCAACTAATCTACATAGAGACCAAATTCTACTCTCTCATGTAGACATGCAAGGGAGAGTAAGTTGGCATCTTGAAATCTGAATAGGAGCCCAAAGGCGTCTTTGGCACAATCTACTGAGCCTCCCTTTGAGCTACTGAGAGTGTCTGTGTCCTGTTTAGTGACATAGTAGTTTGGTGATAATCCTTTTGGCTTGCATGGAAAGGTTTCTCAGGCTATTTCATACTGATGTTCCCTGATCTGAGGATTTACCAAGCTTACAAGGAAGTAAGGTCATTGGAAATGAATCCCTCTCAACCATCACAACAACTGAATAAACAGTCCCACAGGTATCTTTGGTACAGCTGATAACTATCAAGTTTAAATGGTCCCTCTTCCTCTTGTCTTTTAAATTAGTCTGTGGGTGAACCAACTTGGTTTAACCAGGTTGATAGGTTATAGTCAAATTTTAGGCAAGGAAAGAGTTACATAAGATAGTAATGCTCTATGAAACTTGTGAAGGGGCTTTATATTTCTACAAAGTATTTTCACAGCTCTTACCTACTGTGCACAAAAAAATTGGAGAATGAGTTTATTTCTTATTTCCTCAATGTGAAAACTAAAATCTAATAGCATTAATCAATTTGCCTATGATCACATAGCTGGTTTGTGGTGGAGACAAGACAGAGGTGCAGAGATCTGATCCCTAAAACAGAGCTCTTCCCATGTTAAAAAATGAAATCAACTTTCACTGAACTCCCAACTGGATGAAATTTTGCAGTCTTTGGAAAAAGCATTCATTTTTGCTGACTCTCTCTGAGAGATGTTGGCCACCTACATCCTTAACACAAGGTTCTTTGGGTGGAGCAACTTGGCATGTCATAGCCCTTTCTTGGGCATTAGGTGTGGGGTATGTCTCATTTCTAAGGTCATTTACTGTTAATATTCCAAATGGAAGGGTCTTGAGACCACACTCCTGGCCACTGTCTTTGGTGCAAGCCTCAGAGAGCTAAAGTTTGACGCATATGAAAATTTGGAGAAGGCAGTAGACTTAGTTCTGTTTCATGACAGCATATGGCACCCAAATATCTAACTCACAAGTATCTGCCATTTAAAGCAAGCAAGAAAGTAGATGAGAAAGAATGGATGAATCATCACTAACACCATTTTTCCCCCCCTGGAAACATAATATAAGGGTAGTGAAACTACATTTACTGAGTGATTCTTACATGCTATTTACTTCTTTTGCTTCATTTCCATTTAAATACGTGAGCAGTGAATTCTTTATGAAGAAGATGGGCTTATTACTTAAATCATCTAACCATAATTGCTCATATATAAAATCGGGATAATACTAGTAGCTACCTTCTATGGTTGTTAAATGAAATAGTTGTACAGTAGTTAGTTCAGTACCTGACATAGATTAAACATCAGTAAGTGGTTGTTTGGTTCTCTTTAGTATTTCTAGAAGCCCTAACTGGTCATAAGTATTATTTGCACCAGGCCATACATTCTCTCTGCCCTCCAAATCCCTAGAATTCAGGATTATACTGAAAAATAAACTTAGTGGGTTGAGAACACTGACTCTGGAGACCCCCGTGTTTGTATTCCGGCTCCACCACTTGCTAGCTCTGTGACTTTGGGCAAATCCTTTAACTTTGCTCAGCACAGGTGCCTCCTCTATAAAATACAGGTAACAAAGCTGAATTTCTAAGGTTGCCATGAGTATTAAATACGACAGTGTGTGTGATGTGATGTGTACTCAGTATCGAGTATGCAGTAGGTGCTACGTAATGTTTGGTTGTATTTTCATTAATATTAGTTCATTTATCTGTGTCCTACAACAAAATCGTTACTGTCAAAAGATGGTTGTTTTCATTACAAAACACAGGAGAAATTAACACCCTAACCTTAACATTTGATCGAGTATCAGTTCTGGATGGTGGTAATTCATCTCTTTTAAATAATAAATATCTCATATAATTATATATGGAATCTTGTGAGAGTCTAAGCCAACTGCTGCCCTTTTCTGAATATGAAACAAAACATTAGGATATGAAAATCCATTACCTACTCTATATAGCATCAGTAGGATCGTTTTTAAAGGTAATAGCTTTGAGATATTAAAAAATGAATGATAATAAATAAATTATAAACCTCTCTATATTAGTGGTATGTTGAAGCTTCTTATTAAGGCTTAATTTTGTTGTTTTTTTTTAATATTGTAGCTTTATTTTTAGTACTTCTTGTATTGCCTTATTCATAGATTCTCCCAGAGTATAATCCTAATACCTCTGGACACTGAGAGAAAGGGAGCCTCTTATAATCGGTGAAATAACACATTCCTGTTTCAGAATACTTCCAGTTGCTTAAAAGTTCTGCATACCAGAGCCATCTGTATTTTTACACGTTGCTGCTAGCCCTCCACTGTGAAGCCTTACCTCAAAAGCTTTGTATCCTTGCTTTCATGATCCCTCTTTAACTACGTGGAGGTCATTCCCCTAACAGCCCCCAGCCTCCTCAAAACTCCTCGCACGTTTTCTGGCCGTTGTTTTCAACCTTAATGTTTATTGAACACCTGAAGTGTTTGTTAAATATAAATTGCTAGGCTCCTCCCAGTGATTCTAATTAAATAGGACTGGGAAAGAGCCCAGAAGTTTGCTTTCTAGTGGAGTCCTGGGTGGAGGCACTGCTGCTGGTTGGAAGCGACACTTTGAGAACCCCTGCTCTCCAGAATCTGAAGGCAGCCCACTAACAGTTGAGGAGGCCGAAGCACAGAGAAGTTTTCTAGAGTTGGCTGTATTACCTACTGTATCAGCCTGGATTTTGACAGACCAAGAGCAACCTCACACAAAGAGGCTATTGGGGGGGCGGGGGACTTGGAGCGTGTGTAATGCACCTGTATGTTACCAAAAATTGAAGCATCACTACCTCCTGGAGTCTGGATCTGAACCCCATGTTTGTCACAGGAGCCAAGGGAGAAGCCAAGACAGAGAATAGTGGCACAATAATGAAGCATGAATTATCCAGATGAAAGCACCTATGGAAATAAAGGTATTAGTATTATTATTTATACCTACTATTTTTAATAAAATAGCAATATGGAAGTGTTGAATAGTTCCAATTGCTTAAAAGTTGCTCTGGGGGACGCAGATCAATTAACTCACATTTTAAAATGAAAGTGTAGATAATAAGCACTGTTTGACTTACTGTTTTCAGAACATGTTTTGATGAAATGTGTTGCTACACAGCAGTAACAAGTAATGATGACTGGTTATAAAGTTAACCAGGAAAGAGGTGAGGCTCTGTAAGACTAGACCCGACTGTATAGATGCTGGCAATGTATGCAGACTAGGCTAGAGAATCAGACAGATGGATTCACTGCTCTAACAGAAAGCATTGGGCCAGAAGGTGAAGAAAGAGACAGGGCTTCTTACTATGTACAACGAAGAATGAAGTCTTTGCTAAATGGTAATTTTGAATTAGGAAGGAAATCGGGAAATTACCGCGTAGGAAAAACGGTAACTTCTAACCTATATTAAACGCTTGGAGGCTCTATTAGTATGACCACGGAGCCATCCCACCTGATCGGGATGAAGTAGCGTGAAGGCTTCTGCTAGCTTTGATTTATTCCTTCCTTCAAACTATGGGGTGAGACTGTTGAGCTTTGCAGCCTCCACACATGGCTGTGTTTTGGGGCCCTGGGCAATGAAATCTGATTCAAAGGAACTCTAATTTTTATTTGAGAGAAAGAATCATCCGAGAATTCTCCCCTGCGGTGGAGTTTGTAACAGATAGATAGAAATCCTGAGTCCAGTCGAAGAGTAAGACCTGCAGAAGAGTTTCTTCTAAGGAAAGGTATAGGGAAAGGAGAGTTTCCAGATAAAGACTTACTCTAGGAAAATAAAATGAAAAATGTGGTCAAAGACTTAAAGGGAGAAGAAAGAAAGAGCAGATGTGTGTATTTATACATATGGATATATGTGTCTGTATATTCTCCATCAGCTAATGGGTATGGGTGAGTCAGGCTTTGGTGTCCCAAGGGAATTATGCAGCCTTAGCTTTATACGTTTATATAGACGCCACACGGGCTATATTCCCTAATGTGCTTCTTTATATAAGAAAAGAGTAGGCTTTGTTTTCAAAAAATACCTTGGGGTGTTTGTGTTGGGAGGTAGAGTCTAGCTCTTTCCCTGCTATAGAAAAATTCCACGTTTTTCTGTCTGACCTATTTTAATGAAGAGTTTACATCTGTTGTAATTTCAATGTACCTTTCTTTCATTCCTACCAGCCAGGTAACCTTTTCAGGGTGTTCTAATGTGGTTTTGATTGGGGAGTCCGAGTTTCATTTGGTTGGGCCTTCGTTGCTGCTTTAATGAGATAAGACTAGATAGACTTCAAATGGGTTTCCCCGGAGCAGCCTTCACTCCCTCCTTGCCTCCTCCAAGAGGGAGGGGATGGAAGGGATTGGAATACTGTGTTATTTGGTCATGTTTTTCTGACCTGTGTCATGTCAGCCTCGAAATTTCCAAAAGCGCAAAAGCGGCAAGTGGGAAAGAGACAGTTCAGAGTCAGAATTTTAAGAGCTTGTTGGGAGGAAGAATGCTTTTCACTGCACCTCAAGTCTAACTGTTTCTGAAAAATCCTTTCCAAGTACAAAGACGGTGCCCTTTTCAAAAATGCTGAGGGATTGGTAACTATGTAAGCATTGTGCATAGCTCTGTGATTGAGTGTGAGGTATAAAATGAGTGAATGTCTGTTAACATAGTGTAAGCCTCACTTCAAGGCATTATTTTCTCAAGTTAAGCCGCTTGCTTTGGAAATGGAATCCATTAAAATTCAGTTAAGATTGCCTTGAGTTTTCATCTAAGATTATTTAATAGCAGTGTAAGGCAAAAAACCACGTATGATTGTCTCTGACTTCCCAAACAGTGCTCCAACGAGAAATCGTACTGTTCCATGTAGCGGCAGGGTGGTGTGAAAGGAGTCTGCCATCAGCCTTCCATTTACTAAGTATTTATTCCACACTCGTGTGCCTGGTGCTGTGATCTGCCCTGGAATGCAGAGGTGTGATACACACAGCTGATGCCTTCCCTTGAGGCACTCCTGGACCAGGAGGGGACACAGGACCACAAATAATGACCCTGCAGGATGAGAAATTCTGTGACGGGGATGTACAGGGGGCTGCGAGATGATGTGAGAGTGTTCAGAGGAGAAATACGTGGCTCAGCTGAGACCCGAAGGATGAGAGGGAGACTGAAAAGTGTTCCAGGTAGGGAGATTGGGATGGTCAGAAGATAATGGCTTCATCCTCCCAGAGTCATTGAGTAGTTCAGGGACTTTAGGAAAAAGTCTGTCTGGAAGACTTAGTTTCTTTATCTTCCTGTGGAGCATGGTGGTGGTGCTCATGGTGGTGGCCACGGTGGGTGCTGTTTGTGGTGGTAGGGGAAGACAGAGAGAAACTATAGCAGTTAATCCTTACTGAGCACTTGTTATGTAGCATGTTGAAGTACGCTAAGCACTTCCTTTCGTTCATTACCTGTTAGAGTTTTATGATCACCTTATGAATGTAGGTACCATCATGGTCTGTGTTCTACAGATGAGAAAAGTGAAGCTGAGGAAAGCTAAGTAAGGTGAAGGTCACGTTGCTAGTAAGTGGAAAAGCCAGGACTTAAAAACAGAAGTTGACTCAAGAGCTTGCATTTTCCACCATTACTGTGTTATTAATAATCTCACTTTTTCAGGGGCTGATATAAATAAAGATGAGCAGGATAATTCATTTGAAAGAGCTTTTTAAACTGCGTGGAACTCTAGATTGTCATTGCACATGTTGAGCTGAGGCATAGGTCATGTGCTCAGTAGCTAGCCTAGATTAAAAAGTAAAAATGGCTTCAGCAATATATGGGCTGTCGTCCCTTGCCTTGTTAGCACCTCCTCCGATTCTTTGACCTCAGCACGTTGGTAGGCAAACATGGCAGTCCCCAGGGGACGCTTTTTGAAGCAACAGAACGTTAGATGAGGTAGACCAGGGATTTGCTCCCAAATGGCAGTTGCTGTGTTAGAAAGTCCTCAAATATCTCTGAGATCGTTAATCTGTGTTAGTCACTCCCTGCCTCTCCATGACTGCTCAGCACAAAGTGAAATGGAGGCTTGACAATGATCCAATTCTTTTTAAGAGTCTTGGCTTCTAGTATGGGTAATCCAAAGCCTCAACTGGACTTTTTAAAATTCTGGACTACCTAGCTGATGTGTGTGTACGTATGCACTATTGATACAGGCATAGAGTCCCTACCTTGCCTGCCTTCTTTTGCCAAATAGTCTCTCTTCCTGTCCCTTGATATTTCTGACAATCCCCCATGTGCTTTCTGCCCTTATCTGCACTTTAATCAGCCACCGTGTTATGAATTGAGGATTGCCTATCCTAGTATCACATAAGCAGGTCCATGTTGCTCACCAATACAACATTAGCAGTTATTGGGAATAATTGAAAACGTTCATAGAGGTGGCTGCATACTCTTTGGGCCCAAAGAGCATGTCTCCCCTACAAAGGGAATGGCTAGTTCAACAATGAACCAAAATAATGAATTCTTCTGCATCACAGTTCAATTGCAGAGGCTAATTATCAGTTTGGTTTTTGTCCCGCTTGAAGCCTGATAACGGGGTTTCCCTTTGGAAGCTTGATTGAGCTGGTGCGCAAGGCAAGACTGTGTAATTCAGGTAGACCAGTGAAATGCAAACAGTTTCATGTATCTGTGGTCACTAATGACCTGTAATCAAGCGTTGATTTGGTAGGTTAAAAACAAGGATGCAATTAGTTTATTTGTTCAGGAGTGTAAACAGAAGAATTTATCAATCTGCTGATTGTTCTCCTCCTTTGAAGACGAATGGCTGGAGCATTAGTCTTGAGCTGTGGCCCCTCAGAGCTGCCATTCATCTGTTCCTGAGATTCTCCCAGCTTCCTGACCAACCACTGATGAGTCTATGGCCTTTGTCAAAAGGGGACAAAAAGGGTACGGTTCTTGGTGTCCTTTCTCTGTGGCTTTTCCTCTTGATGAGTTAGCTAACCACTTCAATATTAGTTCTCTTCTTTCCCTCCTTCGTGGTCCTATGCTTCGACCACCTCATTTTCTCAAAGTGTCATTGTTCATCCAGCAACATTGAACCCAGAACTGTCGAGGGCCAGTTATGCTGCCACTACTGTCCTGGATCTTAAGGTTTATGGTGGTTGTGAAGAGAGTCTTGATTCAGTCTTTGTGAACTTTACTGTCTCTCCATAGATGTCTTTAGGGTTTCTGTGTTACTAACTACTTCTTGGATTACTTATCACTAAAACCAAATGAAAACTCTCCTGCCGTGAAACAGATGCTTTATTGAGATATGGGTCTTAGCGAAGAAGGGGCTCTGATCCTTTGGGGTACATCAAAACTGGCAATAGAGGTTTTGAGGGATTATAGTGACTCCTTAGAAAAGATATACCTTGTGTTTTCCCTAGTCATTTATTTAAACAGGGGGAGTAAATACATTTAAATTCTTATGGGAGACCGTGAAGTCAAAACATAAAAGCCTCTAATCCTTCATCAGGTGGAAAATTCTGTGATCTACTTGATATCACAGAATGATAATGATACAGGTTACTCTGATGAGGCATTTGGATTGCTTAAGATCATGTTGAAACAGTGGAAATGATCTCACTCACATAGAACATGACTTCTTTCCCTATCAGCCTGAGTCACACACTAAGCTGAAACGACTATCAATCTGTGTTGTCTATGTTCTCCTTAGAGTAAGCTCCCTGGGTCTCTTGCTCAACATGTATCACACGGTCTAACACAGTGACTGGTGTGTAATAAATATACGCAATAAATATTTGTTGCGTGAAATTCAGGTACAGTGATTAGAGTTTGAAGACCAATCGTGCCATTTGGGATATTGTGAAATAAAGCAAAATTGCTTGATAAAAATGATCTTAAGTATCAGGATTAGTAAATAATCGGCACCGTAGCTGACCTTTTCGGGTTTTTTCACATCCCCTTTTGTGCACTTCCATATAGTGC